CAGCGTGCCAGCTGATGATAGCAGCTGAAGCCAATCTGCCCATGATATGCCGTCCTTCGGCTTGAGGACTTGATGCCCTTGCTCGGGCGCCTCTTGGCACGACTTCGTACATGATGAAAGTGACAACTGCTGCTGCTTCGCTCCATTGTTACTGGCACGGTGTTTGGAATATGTATCTAGAACAACATGTGTCCTGGTCCACCACCCACTGATGCCATCCCTCATCGGCGCAACTCTGGACGGGTAGCCTCCAGAACAGTGTTGGTGCGAAACTTGGGCCCCTCCGCGCGAGAGCGTCCAAGGCTGGCCTGGCCATGGTGCGAGGCGAAACTGGCCTCCACCGTGCGAGCCCACGCACTGAAAAGACTGCTGATGATATCACAATGACGCGAGTCAAGGGAGTGTGCTACGGATCGAACAACAGCCTCCGCAGGCGGATAAAGGCACGAATGAATGAACCCGAATTGTTGCCTTTCAGCACACCAGGTGGCCGCAGCAATGCTAAATTCAACGTTGGATTTGAAATTCCCCTCTGACCCTTGGGGCGATGGCTCGTGCAATACTTCGTGAGACAGTTGCATGGGGCTACTATCCGAGGGGTTCTCACGCTGGGCCGAATTATTAGTTGACTGTTCTGAAACAGCCAGCATAGAAGAGGTGGCGGGCGGGGCGGGAGGGGGTCCGAAGTTGGGCTCGAAGGCCCACGGGCCCTCCTCTTCGTCCGAGTCGCAGTGCTCACCTCCCAGCGGGTCGCCAACACTTGTCTCGGCTTCGCTGAGGGGAGCCTGCGGCCCTTCCCCCTCCACTTCGCCAACGCTCTCAACGGGAAACCACTGGCGAGTTCGATCGTGCCTCTTCTGCTTGGCCAACTGCTGTGCGGGCCTACGTTCCACCTTCGCTCGGCTCGACTTGGAACCTTCCACGGGCGGGGCCATGAGTGGGAGCTGGGGTGGAAGATCGAGACACCTAGTGCACAGCTGACTGCATTCCGAGGCAAAACTGAGACCTATGTGGGTTTTCGAAGGAACGTCCAGGACGGCCCTGAGCCTAAGGATATAAGGTCTGGCCTCAGTTTACAAAGCAACATCTACATGCGAGGGCCGATTGGCCCCCGACGTGCATGTGTACTCAGCCTCGGATGTGACTACGATGCCCGCTACTTTTCCACGAAGCCTGTGGCACACAACTGCTCTGGCGACATGTTCCAGTCGCCGATAGCGATCCATGGCAACGGGATGGATGCGAGCAAACTGCCAAGTCGCCTGACACGTGAGACATTGTCGCCACTGAGGCCGATCCCCGAGTGGCCGTAAAAGACGCACACAATGATGGGGAAACCTCGCATGTGGAGCAAGATTGGCAAGAAACCGTCGAACGCTGCGCTCCGATCGCGACGAAGCGCAGGAGGATTCCGAGCAGCATCAAGAACCTGAGCAGGACGATGGCTACGCACCATCCACTTACCTCTTTCATTCGCTCGAGCTTCCTGATCGGATTGGACTTGCTTCCTTCTACTTTTGGCTCTGGCGCTATTGGCCAGCAGTTTCAAACCTGCACCTCGCGCCTTTGACGTCCACTTGCCCAAGTCGCGCTTATGCGCGTGGGTCTCGCGTAAAGAAGCTTAGTCGCGTGACTTAGCCGCTTGACAGAGATACTCCCAACTCTTCTCTCCGACGCAGGTCACATTCCCAAAGAACAGTTTCGTCGATCTGGCCGTCGATCCTACAGACGGCGCAGTACCACGCGTACTACCAGTACCCGAAGTAAACGCATCAGTGCCTGAAGGACTGTTGCACTCCCCAGTCGACGTCGGAGTAGACGCCACCCACGATGGGACTGCCGCAGCCCCTAGTCGCAACTCCTCTTCACTCTGGGGCACCTTGTCGTTCGTGCATTTGCCGTTCCCCTTGCCCTGCTCGACTGCCCGTGCTGCGTCGAACCTGGCCTTGGATATAGCAGCCGCCGCCTTCTTGATCATCTGCTCGTCGACCTGCGCCGCCGCCGCTGGGCCCCCCGCTGGCGCCGCGGCTCCACGGGCTGCCCCTGGGACCGCGGTGGCTGGGGAGGGCGCCCTGCGTGCGCCAGGGGCCGCGCCGGCGCCCCCCGCGGGGGGGCCCTGTGGCTGCCGATGCGGGTGCGCCACTGCCCGCATCTCCTGCAGCCTCTCCATCAGCGCCGACAGTACGACGTTTCTTGCCCATGCGCTCCATCACCTCCTGCTCGAACATACCGGCTTTGCCGAGGATAGGACGAACCTGGGCGCCCTTGGGCTCGAAGGCCGAGCGATAGGAATCCAACTCTTTCTACATCTCCCTGAGCTGGATCTCGTCGTTCTCCTCGCAGTCCCAACCCTCGAATTCGTCGAAGATGGCTGACTTGATGCGGAGCTCGAAAGCAGGCGTCTGGCCCTCGGCGGCGCTGGCCGCCTGCGTGGCCTGCGCCCCTTCGGCCCTAGCCAAAGCTTCCGCAGCTCGCTTCTTGTGGATCTCGGCCAACGCCAGGTCCTCCGCCGCCTTCTGTTCCTGGGCCCCTGCCAACTGCAGCTGCCTCCTCAGGCGGAGGACCTGCGCGACCGTCTGCTCGTGGCGGTGGGGCGCCGCGCGCCGAGCTCCGTCAGCTTGGCGCACAGTCTCCGCCTCTGACACCGTCTACTCCCGCTGCGCCATGAGCTGCAGCCGCTCCTGCTGCGCTGCCAAGGCCGACCTCGGCACCTCGTCGTTGGACACCTCCGCGGCCTTCTTGAGCAAGGCCTGCAATTCTGCAGCCTGCTGCGCCTTGGCCGCTCCCTCGCTGCCCCGCTTGGGACTGCGGTGCCGACCGCGACGCCGCTGGGTGCTCCACCCGCCTGTGTCGTCGCCCTCGCCCTGCACCACGATCTCCTCGACCTCGACATTCTTATCGAAAGTGGCGCTGGGGGGCCGAGGGACAAATAGGCAAATCTCCTTGCTGCAATGTGGACACTTGGCCCCCGTCGCAGCCAACTTGTCATTGTACTCGCATGTCTTGCAATGCGCACATCTGCTCCATGGGCGAGGCCGAGCTGTCGACCGCCCGCGGCTGCTGCCGCTTGATGGAGGCACTGCGCCTGCTGCTGACATCCCTGCTTTCGTTCGCCCCGCGAGTGTGGCTGGACTCGCTGAGGCTATCCCTCGCGCGCCCCGAGGAAGGAGCTCGGGTGCGCTTCCTTCTCCCCCATCCCAGAGAGAGAGAGAGAGAGAGAGAGAGAGCTGTTTTGCGCTGGGAGAGGGTTCCAGATGGATTTTCACCCCGGAACCGTTCCGGGGTGAGAATCCATCTGGGACCTCCCGACGCTGAGCGGGGGGGCCCAGCCGCGAAAAACAAGCTCCCCAATAACAGATTCCGTTTAGAAAGTTGCTATTTTGCGGGCTCGGGTATCCCCCCATCCCCGACAGCGTTGTTTTGCGCTGGGAGAGGGTTCCAATTGGATTTGCACATTGGAACGGCTCCGGGGTGAAAATCCACTTGGGACCTCCCGGCGCTGAGCGGGAGGGCCCAGCCACGAAGAACCAGGTCACCGGTAAGAAATTTCATTTGGAACATGCTCATTTTGGGAGCTCGGATGCACACTCCCCCGCCCCTCAGAGAGCCGTTTTGCGGCGGGAGAAGGTTCCAGATGCATTTTCGCATTGGAACGGTTCCGGGGTGTTCATCCATCTGGGACATCCCGGCGCTAAGCGGGAGGGCCCAGCCGCGAAGAACAAACTCGCCAATAAGAAATTTCATGCAGAAAGTTGCCATTTTGGGAGCTCGGGTACATTTTCTTTCCCCCATCCCCGAGAGAGCCGTTTTGCGCTGGGAGAGGGCTCCAGATGGATTTTCGCCGTGGCACGGTTCCGGGGTGAGAATCTATCTGGGGCTTTCCGACGCTGAGCGGGAGGGCCCATCCGCGAAAAGCAAGCTCCCCAATGAGAGATTTCATGTGGAAAATTGCCATTTTGGGAGCTCGGATGCACCCCCCCATCCCCGAGAGAGCCGTTTTGCGTTGGGAGAGGGTTCCAGATGGATTTTCACACTGGAACCGTTCCGCGGTGAGAATCCATCTGGGACCTACCGGCGCTGAGCGGGAGGGCCCAGCAGCGAAAAACAAGCTCGCCAATAAGAAATTTCATGTGGGAAATTACCATTTGGGAGCTCGGCCACACTTCTCCCATCTCCGACAGCGCCGTTCTGCGTTGGGAGAGGGTTCTTGATGGATTTTCACACTGGAGCGGTTCCGGGGTGAAAATCCATTTGGGACACCCCGACGCTGAGCGGGAGGGCCCAGCCGCGAAAAACAAGCTCCCCAATCAGAAATTTCATGTGGAAAATTGCCATTTTGGGGGCTCAGGTGCACTTCCTTTCCCCCCATCCCGGAGAGCCACCCACAAGGCTCCTGAGAGCGCCAAGATGGAAAATCATTTGTTCCAGGTTCCAATTTTCATCCCGGAACCGTTCCAGGTGTTTCTGGAACCTGAAACGGATCGACGCCGGAATTTTAGAAATGTTGCAAATCTTACGTGTTTTTGGACCCTGACCCTACGGATCTGCGCGAGGGGTGCCACTGAATTTTAGAAATGTGGCAAATCATTTTTGTTTTTGGACTTTGACCCTACGGATCTGCGTGAGGGGTGCCACCGGATTTCAGAAATGTGGCAAATCCTTTTTGTTTTTGTTGACCCTGACTCTACGGATCGACACGAGGGGTGCCACCGAATTTCAGAAATGTGGCAAATCCCCAGTGTTTTTGGACCCTGACCCTACGGATCTGTGTGAGGGGTGCCACCGAATTCTAGAAATGTGGCAATTCCTTTTTGTTTTTGGACCCTGACCCTACGGATCTGCGTGAGGGGTGCCACCCGATTTCAGAAATGTGGCAAATCCTTTTTGTGTTTTTGGACCCTGACCCTACGGATCTGTTTGAGGGGCGCCACCAGATTTCAGAAATGTTGCAAATCTATCTTGTGTTTTTGGACCAAATCCCCTGTGTTTTTTGACTCTGACCCCGCCGATTTGCGTGAGGCCACCGGATTTCAGAAATGTTGCATATCCCTTGTGTGTTTTGGACCCTGACCCCGCCGATCTGGTGAGGGGTGTGAAATTTTACCCCCCCGGAAATTCTGAGAACCTTCCCAGGGCGTGGTAAAAATGACCATTTTGGGCCTCCCCCCTCGCGCGGTCCATCAACAAGGAACAGTAAGCAGCAACAAGTCAACAAGGAAAAGTAAGCAGCAATAAGCATAACTGTAACAGTGGAAACTGGAAGCTGCAACTGGTACAGGAAACTGCGAACCTTGGGCCTGCAGCCGGGTGGCCCCACAAGGGGACTGGCATATTTCCAAAAAGCCGTTTCTGGTACGTTAAACATGGGACCCAGGGAAATTCTTGCAACAGTTTAAGGTGAATGTGCGTGCGCAAGGCGAGAGCCACATTTTGAGAACCATCCGCCTTCAATCCGTGAAATTCGTGTACATGTTTAAAACGAGTGCGCGCGGCTCGAAGGCGAGAACCACATTTTTGTGCAGACATTTAAGTTCGAATGTGCGCCGCGCTAAGGCGAGAGCCACATTTTGACAACGACCCAGCGTCAATCTGCGAAGCTCATGCACATTTTTTAAACAAATGTGCGCGGCGCTCAGGCGCGTGCCGCATTCTGGAAGCGATCCGACCTCAGTCCGTGAGACTCATGTAAATGTTCAAGTCGAGTGATCGCGGCGCTGGGGCGAGAGCCACAGTTTGGAACCGGCCCGCCCTCCATCTTTGAAGCTGTTGTCAATTTTCAATCGTCAGTGTCATAAGTGCTAAGGAAGTCTCAGGCGAAACGCCCGGCCTGCCCTTCTGACTGGCTTCGGGGTGCGACACGGAGGATTTGTTCATAAGGAAAAGGAATGGAGGCTGCTGCTGATGAAGATGCTGATGAGGGTGAATGCTCATTCTGGAGGACTGGAGGGATGACCAGATCACCCCTCCTTGTGCCTATTGTACCTTTCGAATGAAGTGTCCCCTGGGGCTCGCACCCGGTTTTTTTATCCGGAAAAGTCTCCCTAGTTAAACTGTGCTGTTGGGCCTCCGGCTACGCCTGCAACTGCACCCGCTTCATGTGCCCACCCAGTGTGCATCCATGATCGAGCTCTCGCTCGAGACCTCCCCACAACAGCGTGCTCAGGAGCCGCGCGCTCGCCCTGGAGTCCTCGGCAGTGTGCAGCCACGCTGCGCTCTCCACGCCCCCAGGGAGGCGCGCCCTCGCGCGAGACGCCGTCGCGATTTGCTCGGGCCTCGCGCTCTCGCCCGAGGCTGCCTGCAGCTTGCGAGGCTCGCTTCCGCGCCCTGCCCGCCCGACCCGCCAGTGGGGGCACGCCCGCCCCACTCGCCTGTGCCAGTCTGCCCGCCAGACCCGACCCGCCCGCTAGGGTCCGCCCGAGGAGGAGGAGGAGGAGGAGGAGGACGAGGAGGATGAGGAGGAGGAGCAGGAGGAGGAGCAGGAGCTTGAAAGCCCGCCCGCCGCTTCAATGTCCCCGCCCGTGAATGTCTTTCCGTTCACATGCTTGCAAGCCCGCCCGCCCGACCCGCCCGTTAGGGTCCGCCCGTCCGACCCACCCGTTGGGTCCGCCCGCCCGACCCGCCCGTCAGGGTCCTCTTGCAAGAATAATTGTTCCTCTCTCTTACCCCTCCTGCTAAATCTTCTTCGCCCTCACTCATCCTCCCTTCCTCTTGCCCCCTTCCCTTCTCGTTGTCTTCTCCCTTCCTCACGGGAGGCAAGGCATATTTACCGCAGAGAGGCATACACACATGCTGAATGACACGCGAACGACGAAGAGCGAACAGTCTTACACTGATTGTTGTTGATGAAGATGAGGAAGTAGGGGGCAGGATGAGAGAAGTGGGAGGACAAACAGAGTATAGAAGAGGGGGAGTGGGGGAGGAGGGGTGGTGGAACGGGATTTGGGGAGTGATGGAGGGATGGACAGGGCGTCTAGCCGATGAAGATAGCACGATTGCTGTTTGGCTCATGCCCTCATTCCTATTGCGAAGGCCTTACGAGGAGGAGGAGGAGGAGGAGGAGGAGGAGGAGGAGGAGGAGGAGGAGGAGGAGGAGGAGGAGGAGGAGAGGAGGAGGAGGAGGAGGAGGAGGAGGGAGAGGGGGGAAATGAATAGGAGCAGGACTAGGCGAGCAGGGCCTGGGGCATGGGAGTCCTGGACTTTGGGGGGGGCTGGTTCCTGGCGCTGGGTCCTGGAGGGTCCTGGGGACCTCGGAATTCTGGGTCCTGGGGTGTCCCGTGGCCGAGCGTCCAGGAGGCCGGTCCGGTTCTGGAGGGGGACGGAGGACAGAGGAGAGATGATGATGGAGGGAGGAGGGGGGAGGGAGGAGAGGGCGTGGTAGAATGCCTCGGCTCTTGACCCGTCTGACGCTTTGTATGGGCCCCGGGACCTCCAGGGGGGGAGTCGTATCTGACGCCGGACCCCCCCCGGGACCCCCCCTGGGACTCCCCTGGGACTCCCCCCCGGGACCCCCCCCGGAAGGGAAGGGATCAAAGGGAAGGGGTTTCCCTTCGACGCAATGACAACGTTGCTCTTGAGGGGGGGCTCTGGAAAAGCGGGGGGGGAGCGGCGACGGGCCCAGGGAAGAGGGGAAAAGGGGAGGAGGGGAGACGGGCCCAGGTAAAGGGGGAGCGCAGGGACAGGAGACGACTGGCCCAGGGAAAGGGTGGGCGCAGGGACAGGAGACGACGGAGACGACGACGAACGAACGACGGGAACGGACAAGCCCATCACACATGCCGACACAGGGTCGGCGGATTTGAGTTTTGACGGAACCACGTTTTGAAAATGATATCGCTATCGGCGGGGAGGAGCGGTGGAAGGACGGCAATGGAGGACAAGTTTCATCAATGCACTACTTCGTTTACAATGCTTCGGCTTCAATGTAATACATCCGATACTTCCCGCCTCGCCATCTCACGTCTTCTGATTTTTGGACAGAATACATTCATCTGGTGTTCATGTTCGACTCCCAAAGCTGTGCCGGAGGCCCACGACCTGGGTGAATATCGATCGATCGATGGACTGCTTGCTCGACTGCGTGGTGATGGCGACGATGGAGGCGAGGGGGTGCAGCTGGAGTGGAGGGGCACTGTTTCCCCTCCTCTTAGAGCGTCCGAGGGCTCCCCGATCCGGCGCGCGCGCAGGGGAGCGTCTGCATCCGCGACGTGGCCGATCGCGACGACGCCACGGAGATCCACATCCCCGAGAATTGCAAGGGCTGGGTCGGGCGGGGCGGCAGACGTCGTCGTCGCGTCCCTCGCTCCGTCGTCGTCGTCGTCGTCGTCGTCGTCGTCGTCGTCGTCGTCGTCGTCGTCGTCGTCGTCGTCGTCGCTGATCCTCCCCGTCGCCGTCGTCGTCGCCCCCCTCCCTCCCTCCATTCCTCCGCCCTCCTCCCTCCCTCCCCGTCCTCTTCCCTCACCCCTCCACAATTATTTAATGCATAGGACTACTCGCTCTCCCCTGCCTATGCGCGTCAGTTATTCCGCCTTCCGTTTTTTTTTCCCGGAGAGGGCATAAGCCCAGGGTTCTCTTCTTTTTGTTGGTTTAACTTCGGGTTTGACTTGAGGTGGGCCGGCGAACTTCTTTTGCGATAAATATCGAGGTCGAGGTGGGCCGGCGAATTAACATTTTGAGGATGTCCCTAGCGAAACGCTTGTTTTTCAGAATTTGTTGAGGATGTCTCGAGCGAAACGCTTGTTTTGTGTTGTAGATTGTCCTCTCCTGGGGACCTGAATTCAGAGGATCTCTCAAGTGAAATGCTTGTTTTCACGTGCCCAGGTCTTGAGGATGTCTCGAGCGAGACGCTTAGTTTCACGCCTCCAGGTTGCTTAGACAGATGTCTAGCATGAGGATTTGTTGAGGATGTCTCGAACCAGAGGCTTGTTTTCACGTGTCCAGGTCGCCCAGGCGGATGTCTAGCATGATGATGTGTCAAGGAAGTATCGATCGAGACGCTTGTTTGCACGTGTCCAGGTTGCCCAGGAGGATGTCTAGCATGAGGATGTGCTGAGAACGTCTTGAGCGAACCGCGTGTTTTCACGTGTCCAGGTCGCCCAGGCACAGCACAGCCCTCGGCACTGTACATCAATATCGATACCCTTAGCATTGCAGCCTGGCATGTTGCCTGGCACGTTCCGCGGAGCGTCCCGTGGCGAGTCCCCCTGGCAGTCGCCCCTGGCACGTCGCGCGGTGCACGTCCACTGGCACGTTCCGTAGCGCGTCCCCTTGGCACGTCCCGCGGTGCGTGCCCATGGCACGTCCCCTGGCACGTCGCCTGGCGCGTCCCTTGGGACGTTCCGCGGCGCGTCCTCCTGGCATGTCCCCCTGTCGATAGTTCTGGGGCAGCTACCTCTGCTCAGGCAGCTCGAGCTTAAGATCCAGATCAGTTCGGTCAGGACTCGGATGCCAGGGAGGACTCGATCCACAACGCTATATAGAGCACAATCGCATAATGGCACATCGCAGTTCAGCACGGCCAGCACAGCGCAGCCGTCGGCACGGTACATCAAGATCGATACATTCAACATTGCATCTTGGCACGTTCCTTGGCGCGTTCCGTGGCGAGTCCACCTGGCACGTCGCGCGGCGCGTCCCCTGGCACGTCCCGCGGCACGTCCATTGGCACGTTCCGTAGCGCGTCCCCTTGGCACGTCCCGCGGTGCGTGCCCATGGCACGTCCCCTGGCACGTCGCCTGGCGCGTCCCTTGGGACGTTCCGCGGCGCGTCCTCCTGGCATGTCCCCTCTGTCGATTAGTTCTGGGGCAGCTACCATCTGCTCAGGCAGCTCGAGCTTAAGATCCAGATCAGTTCGGTCAGGACTCGGATGCCAGGGAGGACTCGATCCACAACGCTATATAGAGCACAATCGCGGCATGGAACATCGCAGTTCAGCACGGCGTAGCACACCACAGCCCTCAGCACAGTACATCAAGATCGATGCATTCAGCATTGATTTTGCCCGTCGCCCAATCAAGTGTCTTTGAAACGTTGCCATGCCTTACATTTCTACATTCCTTTCCGGGTTCGTGGGTCGATCATGTTTGTTTGTTTCGTTTTCCTGGAAAGGGCTTAGGCCCAGGGTGTTTACCCCCGGTTCTAACGGCTGTAGGGCTGGCGAAATTATTTTGTGGTAAAAAACGGGGTCGCGTAGGGCCGGCGAATTATAATTTTGAGATGTCCCTAGCGAAACGCTGTTTTTTCAGAACATGTTGAGGATGTCTCGAGCGAAACGCTGGTTTTACAGAGTTGGGGGATGTCTCGAGCGAAACACTTGTTTTTCAGAATTTGTTGAGGACGTCTCGAGCGAAACGCTGGTTTTGCAGAGTTGGGGTATCTAACATGGCGTCGGGCCCAACGCCGAATTATGAGGAAACGCGCGGGGGTCCGAAAATCGCTACCCGAACACATGTCCCAATGCAGAAAAGTAATGTGTTCTTGCTCTGCACAGGGGGTTGCGCTTTGGGGGCCTCTCCAGGGAAGACATTGCGAGGATGTCTCGAGCGGGAGCGCGAATTCAGCGTATCCAGGTCACGCAGGGGGGTATCTAACATGGCTGTCCCGAGCTGGAACCACGTGTTTTTTCATACTCAAACCACCCAGGGAGATCTCTAACATGATTGTCCCGCGCTGGAACCATGTGTTTTTACGTGTCCAGGCCACCCAGGAGCACGTCCCCTGGCACGTCGCCTGGCGCGTCTCTTGGAACTTTCTGCGGCGCGTCCTCCTAGCATGCCCCCCTGTGAATTAGCTCTGGGGCAGCTACTATGTGCTCAGGCAGCTCGAGCTTAAGATCCAGATCAGTTCGGTCAGGACTCGGATGCAAAGGAGGACTCGATCCACAATCGCGGCATGGCACATCGCAGTTCAGCACGGTGCAGCACAGCACAGCCCTCGGCACGGTACATCAAGATCGATACATTCAGCATTGCAGCTTGGCACGTTCCTTGGCACGTTCCGTGGCGCGTCCCGTGGCGAGTCCCCCTGGCAAGTCGCGCGGCGCGTCCCTTGGCACATCCCGTGGCACATCCATTGGCACGTTCCGTAGCGCGTCCCCTTGGCACGTCCCGCGGTGCGTGCCCATGGCACGTCCCTTGGCACGTCGCCTGGCGCGTCCCTTGGGACGTTCCGCGGCGCGTCCTCCTGCCATGTCCCCCCTGTCAATCAGCTCTGGGGCAGCTACTAGTTATGTGCTCAGGCAGCTCGAGCTTAAGATCCAGATCAGTTCGGTCAGGACTCGGATGCAACGGAAGACTCGATCCAAAACGCTATAGAGCACAATCGCGGCATGGCACGTCGCAATTTAGCACGGCGCTGCACAGCACAGCCTTCGGCACGGTACATCAAGATCGATACACTAAGCATTGCATTTGCCCGTCGCCCAATCAGGTGTCTTTGAAACGTTGCCATGTCTTACATTGCAGTATTCCTTTCCGGGTTCGTGGGCCGATCCTTTTTTGTTGTTGTTTGCGTGCCTGTGTGTGTGTGTGTGTCTATGTTCTCAGAATGTAATTTAGCCAATCAAATTAGTACTACCGCTGCCGCATGGGCTTCATTTTCTGATTGTGATTCGCTCCCGCCGTTCGAATGGCACTCTCGCCCTAGCACGGACCACTTTCCTGGATCTGAGTCCTTCTTCATCGTTGTCGCCAACCCTTTCCCCTCCTCCGCCTTCCCCTGGTCCTCCTGCTCCTCCCGCCCCTTGCTCTCCAGCTCTGGCTGCTGCTGTCCGTCCTCGTCCTCCTCCCTCCTCCTCCTCCTCCTCCTCCTCCTGCTCATCCTCCTGCTCATCCGCCACCTCCTCCTCCAATGGTCGCAGCTCCCCTCTTCCGATTGCGCGTAACACGATGGAGTCCCTTTCGGGATTCCAGGTCCGCCATGGCACGCGTCGGCGGCCAGAGAACAGACGATCGATGGCAGACATGGCACGAGCGCACCCAGCCTGCTCACTCTCCCGCTCCTCCCTCCCCCTCTCCTCCCCTCTCCTCCCTCCTCTTCCCTCCCTTCCCCCTCCTCCCCTCTCCTCCCCTCTCCTCCCTCTCCTCCCTCTCCTCCCCTCTCCTCCCTCCTCCCTCCTCCCTTCCCTCCTCCTTCTCCGCCCTCTCCGCCCTCTCCTCCCTCTCTTCCCTCCCTTCCCTCCTCCCCCCTCTCCTCCCCTCTCCTCCCTCCTCTTCCCTCCCTTCCCCGTCCTCCCTGTTGCCTCGTGGTCCGAGCGTTTGGCCTCGCGGCTGGCGATCGCCCACGTGTGCAGCTGCGGGGTTGTCAAGCGATCCCATGTACATTTGCAGAGTCGGACTCCGATGCTGGTGAGTCCGACTGCGATGGCTTCGAGTAAGCTTATGATGCTCCAGCCTACTGTAGCCTTGATCACCAGAAAGAATTTCGAGCGCCACACAACAGTACCGAAACTCAAGGGTTTTCACGTGTCGGGCCCTGGGAGACACTCGCCCGACATTGTTTCGACACTCTGTTGACACTTTTCCGGGTGCTCGAAATTATTTCTGGGATGTGGTCTTGAAGTAGGATGGGAACAACATAAGAGTAAGCACAGTTTCTGACCGCCGTTGGGGTTGGGGTTGGGGCCCACCCAAGCAAGGCTAAACCCAGCTGCCTTGCCTCCCCCCTCCGCCCCAGCCTTCCGCCTTCCCTCCTCTCCTCCTGTTCCCCCGACTTTTGATTTCGATCTGCTGCTGGCCTTGCCCTCCACCCTATGCCTTCCTCCGCCCGCCTATGCCTTCCGTCATCCTCCGCCCTGATCCGTCCTCCCATCGCCATCGGCCTCCATCCCCCTCCCCCTCCCCCTGCGTACCCCTCTTGGTCTTCCTTCTTCCCTGCCAGTTCTCCCTTCTCTCCCTTCCCCAGCACCCTCCCCACTCTTCCCCCTCGTCTCCTCCTCCTCCTCCTCCTCCTCCTCCTCCTCCTCCATTCCTTTTCCTTATACATAACTTATCCCTGTCGCAAACCCGAGGCCAGTTTTCAGGGCGGGCCGAGCGTTTCGCCTGAGACTTCCTCACCATTTATGACTCTGAAGCTTAACATGTGGCATTCGTTTCATACATGAGGGCGGGTCGTTTGCAACATGTGGCTCTCGCCTTAGCGCCGCGCACATCTGTTTCAAACACTTGCAAGAGTTTCACTGATTGAGGGCGGGTGGTTTTCAAACTGTGGTTCTCGCCTTAGCTCCGCGTACATGCGTTTTGAAACTTTGCAAGAGTTTCACGGATTGAGCGCGGGCCGTTTTCACGATGCGGTTCTCGCTTTGGCGCCGCGCACATTCGCTGTAAAACATTGCAAGAGTTTCAGGGACTGAGGTCGGTTGGTTTTCAAAATGTGGCTCTCGTCTCAGGGCCGCGCACATTCGTTTAGGGCTTCAAAGGTTGATGGCGATTCCTTTTCAAATGTGGCTCTCGCTTCAGCGCCGCGCTCATTCGTTTTAAACATTTGCCAGAGTTTCACGGATTCCCATGCGCAACGTACCAGAAATTGTGTTTGGAAGGATTCCGGATTATGCGGTTGCAGCAGTTATGTTGTTTCGCGGTGTTGACGTCACAAAAATGGCGTTCTGGCATGATTCCGTGGCGTGGAAATCCCGAGAACAATGTTTTGGCATGCTTCAAGGTCTTCAAACGGCTGTCTTCCAACGAGGCATTTCCTCAATGGAAAATGAACCGTTGTAGGGGCCTGTGAAGAGGGAGCTTGGAGGGAGGATTAATTCCAACATCATTGATGGCTCTTGGGTTTACACTGGTCCTCCTCCTCCTCCTCCCAAGGGGTTTGGCCAGGCAACTTCCCCTGAAATTCTGGGGGCCGTGAACGGACAGCGTCATAGTCTCTGGCTTTTTGTGCTCAGTTGTGGGTTCACTGAACCGCTTTGGGGACGTGTCATCTTCTTCCTCTTCTCGATCCGCCTCCTCTCCCTCGTCGCCCCCCCACTATCCTTCACTATCATCTTCTCCCTTCGCCTTCCTCCTTCCTGATCCCTCATCCTGCCCACCTCCGCCTCCTCCTCTTCCGGATCCCTTTCCCTTTCCTCCCTCATCCTTCCTCCTCCTTCTCCTCCTCTTCCTGATTCCCCTCTTCTCCTCCGCCTCCGCCGCCTCCGCCCTTCTCCATCCTCCTCCGCCTGCGCCATGCGCCTCCTCCTCCTTCCCTCGTCGTCGTCGTCGTCCTCCTCCTCCTCCTCCTTCTCCCCTTCTCCTCCTCCTCCTCCTTCCCCCCTCCTTCTCCTCCTCCTCCTCCTCCTCCTCCTCCTCCTCCTCCTCCTGTTCCACCTCCTCCCCTCCCTCCATCCCTCTGTCCCTCCCTCCCTCACTTCCTCCCTCCCTTCCGCCCTCCCTCCTCCTCCTCCTCTTCCTCCTCCTCCTCCTCCTCCTCCTCCTCCTCCTCCCACCTCACTCCTGTCTCCTGCCTCCCGCCTCGTGTGCCCCCGTGCCGGCTCCGCTGCCCAGGTCACGGGCAACCGCGGCAGCGAGCTCCGGCGGATGGAGGAGGAGACCCTCACGCGCCCCCCCGGGTCCCGAAGCGCCTCGGGGCGACGAGCATCGGGCGCTCAAGAGGGGGTGACGACAGGGGGGGTGTTGGATGTCGTGGCCGCGGCCATGATATCTCCCCGGATTTTTTCTGTCCCCCCGTCCTCTCTCAATACGTCCCCAGGCCCCCCTGGGCCGCGCACGTGCCTCGGGCCACGACTTGTGAGCCCCCCTCTCGCATGCCCCCCCTCTCTTGGACGTCCCGAGAGGGGGGGGACATGGGAGGGGGAGGGAGGGACAGGCGAGGAGGGACAAGGCATATGATGAGGGAGGACGGGGAGGAGGGGGGGAGAATGGGGGAAGGGGGACAGCGTGGAGGGAAAAACGCGAAGCGGAGGGAAGAGCTCAGCACTGTTGCGAATGCGTGCCAGGTACATGTTCATGGCGGTGGACGAGAAAGGGGATGAGCGCCTCATCATATTCTGTCACGACCCAG